TACCCAAGTGGTGGAATTTTCCTCTTCTGATGATTTTTCCTAGCATTTTCATATTTGGCATTGTCAATGGCGAGCAGGAGGAGCAGCTGCTCCTGCAATTTAAGGGAGGTTTAGTTGATTTCAGTGGTGCTCTTCAGAACTGGAACTCCTCGGAGTCCAGTACCTGTCAATGGAATGGCATCGGTTGTGTGGACTTTCAGGTAGCCTCTATTAATCTTCATGGGTTCAATCTCTCTGGTAGCTTATCCGCTAGCATATGTGGGCTTCATTTCCTAACCATATTTAATGTCTCAAAGAACATTATTTCTGGTTCTATTCCTAAAGAGTTGATGAATTGTAAGCATTTGGAAATTCTTGACCTTAGTACCAACAAGCTTCATGGCGAGATCCCCTCAGAACTCTTCTCTTTATCATCACTGAGGAAGCTTTTCCTCAGTGAGAATTTTCTCTATGGTCAAATACCTGCAGTGATTGGAAATTTGACTTCTCTTGAAGAGCTTGTCATTTACAGCAACAACCTCTCTGGAACTCTTCCTTCTTCTGTTGGAATGTTGAAGAGTCTTAAAATAATACGTGCAGGTTTGAATTTTCTTTCAGGTCAAGTTCCTGTTGAGCTTAGTGAATGTGCTAGCTTAGAGATTCTTGGGCTTGCACAGAATAGGCTAGAAGGATTTCTACCACCAGAATTTGGGAGGCTGAGGAATTTAACAACTTTGATCCTCTGGGAAAATCTATTATCTGGTGAGATTCCAGCAGAGTTTGGTAACTTTAGTAGGTTGGAGATGCTTGCTTTGAATGACAATGCTTTCACTGGGAGGATACCAGGGGAGCTTGGGAAGCTATCAAAGCTGAAAAAGCTATACCTTTATAGAAACCAATTTGGTTCGATGATCCCCAGTGAGCTAGGAGGTTGTGTGAATGCACTGGAGATTGATCTTTCTGAGAATAAGTTAACAGGAGTCATTCCCATTGAGCTTGGTCAGATCCAGTTTCTTCGTTTGCTTCATCTTTTTGAGAACAACCTGCAGGGAAGCATTCCCAGCGAGCTTTGTCTATTGAGTAGGTTGAGGAGGATAGATCTTTCAATTAATAGTTTGACTGGTGCAATCCCTCCTGAATGTCAGAACCTTACCTCCTTAGAATATTTGGAGCTTTTTAACAACCATCTAGATGGTATTATTCCTCCTTTGTTAGGGAGCACCAGTAACCTCACTGTCCTTGATCTTTCAGACAATAATCTTACTGGTACAATCCCTGCACACCTCTGCAAGTATGGGAAACTGATGTATTTGAGCCTTGGAGCAAATAGATTGTTTGGAAATATCCCTCTTGGTGTGAAAAAATGCAGTACTCTTGTGCAGTTACTGTTGGGAAGCAACCAACTCAGTGGAAGTCTGCCTGTAGAATTTTCTGAGCTCCTTAATTTGTCTGCCCTTGAAATGAATCAGAACAGATTTTCTGGCCCAATTTCTCCTGAATTAGGGAAGATAAAGAACCTGGAGAGATTGTTTCTTTCTGCTAATTATTTCATAGGTCAGATCCCTCCTGAAATAGGTGACCTTACTGAACTTGTGAGTCTTAATGTTTCCTCAAACCAGTTTTCAGGATTAATCCCTCATGAGTTGGCAAAATGCAGAAAGCTGCAAAGGCTTGATCTTAGCAGAAATCAATTCTCTGGTTTTGTTCCAGAGGCTTTTGGTACTCTTGTGAATCTGGAGCAATTGAAGCTCTCAGATAACCATCTTAATGGAACCATTCCAAACAGTTTCGGTCAGTTGCCTCGACTTACTGAGCTACAAATAGGTGGGAATAACTTCTCTGGCTACATACCTTCAGAGTTAGGACAGCTTATTTCGCTGCAGATCGCCTTAAATGCTAGTTTTAATGCTCTCTTTGGCAAAATACCATCTGAGCTTGGAAACTTAAAATTATTAGAATACCTCTATTTGAACAACAACCAACTGGATGGTGAGATACCCTCTTCGTTCTGCAGTCTTCAAAGCCTCCGAGTGTGCAATCTTTCTAACAATAACCTTGTCGGTTCTCTACCCAACTCTCCTGCATTCTTAAGAATGAATAGTAGTAATTTCCTTGGAAATAATGAGCTTTATGGTACAAGCAATAGATTATGTCAGACATCTTCTTTTCCATCATCAACTTCTGCTGAAC